GCCAGCCAAAACTGCTTTACAGATAAACGGTCCAAATCCGATCCCGTGCGCGTGTGTCAGAGAGAGAGAGAGAGAGAGAGAGAGAGAGAGAGAGACGAATAGGAAAGGAGACACTGACCGGTTTATTGCCTTTTCCGAGCATCGTCGCATGCATCGGGCGGACGGGGAGAGGGAGGGGGAGGGAGGGGGCGTGTCCAGAGACATGTGCGCCACGGCACGGCAACGGCAACCCTCACGAGTCCAACACTTTTGCATTAAGCGCAGCCACACGGCACCAAGACCACAGACCGCTGGCGTGCACCTGCTGACATGGGTTCACGTCGTCCGCAACTCTAGTAGTGCAATGTTCAGGTACGACGTGTCTGGCTGCCGAGCAAGGGCTCTCTGAAGGTATGACGTGGGGATTTCAATTTTCCAAAGAGTATTTTTTGTTGTTTTTTTCAAGAATTTTGCTCTTTATTTCTTTTTTTCCTGGGAAGTTTTCTTTTTTATTCCAATTTTTCTGGAAATACTGTATTAAAAATTTCTACCAGGTTTTTCCTGGAAAAGTTTCGCATTTTTTCCGGAAAAAATCCCTAGTGCGGCCGTTGGTTCTGCGGGGGCCCCGGGGGGCAAGGGGCACATGCGCGACGACACATGACACATGTGGTCGGGGCATTAATGCCAATGGAGGGGGGGGGGAGGAGGGGCTCATCTGTCACAACTAGCGGGTACCGGGTCAGCCTGTGTGCAGCGTGCCGCGATCTGTGTGGAGCGTTTACGCGCATCATCGATACTATTCCATGGAATAGTAATGGTCGTGATAGGGATATGCACTGAACAACACAAACGTGAAATACAGCCAAAACATGGGGAAAAAGTAGAGTTTGAAGTATAGAGTTTAAAACTGCGTTCATAATTTTAAGTTTTGAACAGTTTTGTTAACTGTTAAAAATGTGTGACAGTGTGCTGGCTGTTTGGAACTGGAGTGGGTGGGGTGGAGCGCGCGCCTGCCAGGTGGGAGGTAGGCCGCAGCGGGACGAGGGTGCCCACCTGGTTGCCTACCCGCCCGTCGTCGGGAGCTCTGCTTGACTTGACTAGCCGTGAGGCCACATGTGACCCGTGGTGTTCTGGAGCGGGTCAAGCAGAAGTCCATGTCGGTCGCGCTTTGGTGGATGACGCAGTATATAGTCGAAATAAAATATTTAAACAAAATCAATGGGGGTCAGCAAAGGCAGCAATAGGGGTCCATACAGTTAAAAACAAGGGAGAAGAAAGCACAAAATTACTTTTGTGGTAGAGAGTTCACTCGTTCTTTACAGTGCACCTAAAGTTACTTTCTTCTTGTTGTATTGTTCTCATTGTAACACCAAACATGATTACATATTCATCTCAGAATACAGAATATCTTCAAACACCACACCTAGTACCATTTGAAATTGAGAATGATTTTTTATTGGCTGAGCCTATCTCTAAATATATCTCTATCTCTAAAGAATATCTCTAGAATATATCTCTATCTCTATCTTGCTCAGCCAAGGTAACGACGTCCGTCCGTCCCGGGATCCGTGATGGAGATGAAGGGATGGATTATGGGGATCCAACATGACAAAAATAAAAACACTTTCAAGAAGAAGTTTTCATCTATTTATAATCCAGACAGAAATTGAGAAACCTTTTTAAATGTTTTAAAATGCTGTTTGGCTGCAAAGCTATCCTTTTTAAACGCACATAATCTTTCGCGTGGTTATCCGTGAGGTTAGCACTGTTATTGGTATGGGGCTGGCAACAAGTGGCGCCATAGCACAAATTTTGAAGTCGATTCGAATGATTGACTATTGACTGTTGACTTTGAAATTTTGCAACAAGGATGCGCCAGTCAAAATTGCATTCATTTTTCAAGCTGGCTTAGATAAACTTTTGTCCAGTAAGGACTAAAACAAATTCAAAAGTTATCACAATTAATTCAAAACTTAAGTGATTGCGCAAATTAAAAGAGAGTTGGAGCTGGCTCAGTCTTTAGAGATGTCTCCACCTAGTATGTTTTGAGGAAGCACTGCACACTGCACTCTTTTAAAGATATGCGCCTTCCTTAGTCACAGTGGCGCTGTAACGGTCAGTTTTTGAAACGAACAGATACGTATCTGAATATGAATCTCACTTACCTTAACCTATCTGTTTAGCGCGGTCGGGCAAGATACTTAAAAAAAATTTCACCGAATTTTGTTAAGAGTTCTCTAAAATTAATTAAGAAAGTTATAATTATGCTGTAATGAAAGATTTTTATTATTATCGCGGGTTTTATATAAACTATCTTTTATGTTTGTAGCTGTTGTGTCTTTTGAGATTAAAATGTCTATTCATACGGCGGATTACGGACTTGGCACGAAAATCGGCGAGATTTGTCAAGTGTTCTCAAAAATATCATGTTAAACTCAAAAAATAGTTCATACTTTGAAGAAACACCAGCATTCCCAGTTTCAAATGGTATAAGTGTTATGTTTGTAGGTATTCTGTGTTCTGAGATGAATCAGGGATCATGTTTGGTGTTACACCGCACTGAGAACAATACTCGTTCTTCCACCACCGAGAAGGTGAAGGTAGGTGGTAAAGAACGAGTAAAAAACCTTGCAAAGCAAAATGCCAACTCCTTTGCAAAGCAAATGAAAGCATTGCTTCGTAATTGCAAATGATTTGGCATTTTGCTTTTCAAGTTTTTAACTGTAAAGGATCGTACGTACTCTCAGGAAGAATTTGCGGCCCTATTTGATTTCGTTCAAATTTTCTACAAGAAATGAACGTAAACCAGCTCCTGATTGACAGAAAAAAAAATTGTCGCAGAAATCACCCAAGCAGAGGGCTACTGAAACTTAACAAATAGTTGTCATTTGACGAATACATACGTCGCCCGCGTCAAAATATGAGTGGCACTTGGCCGAGCGGTCCCGTTGTCCGTCAAACCTGATTACAGTCTGGCGGTGTTGTGGTCTTGGATCCCATCTCGCGCTGCAGTAGGAAACGACGCGACAAAAATGCAAGGACTATCATCACCTTTTTTATCTGTCAGTTGTCTCCACTTGGCGATAATAATTTCGCCCGGTAGTGATTTCACCGTCGTGCGGCCACTTTTCCTGTTTTTTTCCTGTTGGCAAGGGGTTCTGCATAGTGCCGGTGCTGATAAGGACAAATCGCATGGAGTGTTTACGTCCACACAGGCACAAGGATGATTTTCTATAAAAAGGTAAAACTTTGGGGAGCGAGTTGTATACGTCGCCAGCAGCTAACCATGATGGGTCCTCAATCTTCGCTCCTATTCCTCGCCGTGGGACTCGTCGCCACAACAGGTAGGCAGGAGGAACATGCACCAATCCAAACAGCGCTCGAGTGGAACGTCGTCAAAATGGTGTCATTTTGGTCTTTTAAGTCTAAATAATATCCTCCCAGGTATGGACTTGACCCCATTTTGACTAAGTGTTCTCACTGGGAAGGCACCGGCGGTTCAGCTATGTGCCACACGAAGTACATTGTAAGATACTACTCTTCCGTCCTACACCCAGAAGACCGTTTAGTCCAGGCAACTAAATTCAAAACCGATGAAATTTTAGCTCTAAAGACCAAAATTTATTCGTGGCAATGAAAAAATTTAGTCTACCTTACTTAATTTGATTGGTGCTACCATATATAGTAAAAAAAAGGGGTGACTTAAATTTTTCTCGGTTTTAGGAACTAAATTTTGTTTCTTACGACCCTGATTTCCTTGTATCAACTGAATGTTTTTCTGGGTGTATGCCCGTTTTCTATCGCGCTTTGTTCGCCCCTCTCGCTAGGCGTGGCTTCGAAGGACCCTCTGCTGGGTATCAACCTGGCGTCCGGCGCGTCGGCCACCGTCAACATTGGCACGGACTTACTACCAGGCCTAACAAGCAACGCGAATGTTTTTGTCGGCCTGTGCGGCCGGTCGACGTGCTGCGTAGTTAGGCTGTCTGGCTACTACAACGGCCACCCTGGGAGGGTGGACACCATCCTCAGTGATTACAACAGCCTGTTTTCGCCAAGCTATTGGAGTTATGTGCAACAGGTACTCTCAACAGACGAACTGGATTTGTATCGTTTTACTTGTACAAACTTAAGCATTCAAATTTTTGCTCACGTTTTCTGCGTTGATTTGAACACTTGTGAGCATTTGTTTGTTCGAATTTGAGCACAACTTTGTCCGAAAGAAAACGTAGGGTTAACTTACTGCTGCCTCTCTGCCAGCTTAATCCTGATGCGGCTCATTGCAGGAGACGGACAATACAAAACTGTCCTACTGGCTCCCCGAGAACGACACGGCCGTCCTCACCGTCTCCAACAACCACCAGACCTTCAAAGTCCAGATGGCCGACGGCCTCTTCGGCAGGTCCTCGCGGTCGGTGACGGTGCAGTGTCGCCCGGACGAGACTCAGCTCCTCGTCCAGTCCGCCGGGGTGGGCAGTCACCAGATCTTCAACAGGGAGGCAGGTCGGTAGAGCTCAGTCTCGAGCTCAGCTCAGCACCCCCGCTTACAGCGAGAAATTTTTGTTCTTTCTCAAAAGCGCGCCAGTATGCATATTTTTTAAACGCAGCCCTGAGCAGCCAGAAAACCGTCGTTTAGTCGAGGGGGAGTAAAATCAGAAACGATGACATTTTAGCTCTGTGAGTTGAATTTTAATCGTGCCGATTAACAAGAAATGGAGTCAAATTACCGTAGTTTTGATAGATATGCCCAAATTAGTTAAAATGCTCGTAGTAAATCGTGGTTGGTTTAAGGAACAAAATTTTGTTCCCTTGCGACCCTTCCCCGATTTTTGGTCACATCAACTAAAATGGTTCTAGGGGTGAGCGAATCGTTAACTAAAAATTAATAGCTACTACTTGTTCCAGAGCCGAAGCAGCTGAGAGGACCGATGCTGACTTCCGGTGATCAGGTCACCCTGTCGGTGCGCGTGCCCGCCAGCGGGTACAGCGCCTCGCTGTACGTGGGCTTGTGCACGGACCACGAGTGCGCCACCGTGGTCATCTCGACCCCCTCCAGCGCGGGAAGCGGGAACCTCGCCTTCGGCAGCGGCATCACCGTCTCCAACAACCCGACTGACGACTTTTCCGTCACTTACCAGGTTTGTGAAAGAAAATCAAGCTACCGCAAGAAAAGGAGAAAGAAACCGACCAAGTAACAGCCACCTCTGGCAGCCCTACCTCTGAAACTTGCCGAACGTCGTAGACTTATATTTTTGATTAATTTGTCTATTCATATTACATTTTCAGTAAAAAATATCTACACTGATAAAATGGTGTGCAACTGCGTAACATTGTGTAAATGTAAGTTGAATACTCGCAAGTGAGCAGCTATAGCCGACCATGTCGGACACTCTTGCAAGTGCACAACTACGGAGTTAAACACTTGCAAGTACTCAACGTGTACTTTTAGGTGTTCATAGCAGTTGCACACTTGGTTTATTAGTGTAGTCAGGAATATCCGCAAGATCGCGAGAAAATTTTACATGGTAAACGTGACATACAGTTACGTGCTTTCTTTGTAAATTTACGGCCGCGTTCCTTAAGTTACAGCCTAACTCCTCAAGAATCAGTTTTGTTTTCAATTAATTATAACTTTTTATTCTTTTTTTATTTAAGTCAACGCCAGGGCGGGAGGCGTGGTCCTCGTCGGAGTACGACTTCTCGGTGGCGCTCCACCCCGACGGCCTCCTCCAGGTCTGGATGCGGACCGACACCGTGGCGCAGGTGCCGCTGCCGGACGGCTGGAGCGGCCTGAGCCAGGGCCTCGTGCTCAAGGCCCAGCACTCGTACGGCACGCTCAGCTACTCCAGGGAAGGTGCGCTGGGGCCCAGAGCTCTGTGTGTGTGTGTGTGTAAGTGTGTGTGTGTGTGTGTGTGTGTGTCCCAGTGAAAAATGAAATATCGTAACGATATCGTTTTGCCATCGCATGTCGAAAATGTATCGAAATCAGGTACAATTTTTTATCGTTAATGATACAATTTACGACGTACGATATCGGAACGTTATCGTTTCGATATCGCGCCAAAAACCACTTTCTCACTGAGATGTGTGTCTGTGACGTATGAGTCACGTTTCTTTCGACATTGGAAACGCAAGTGTGTGAGCACACTTGTAGGTGGGAGAATGCCCATCCCATTCGTACACTCCATGGACTAAAGGTGTGAATTTTCCTTTCACCCTTGTCCCTCCATGTGTACGAAAGTGACGTGCACATTCCTAGTGCAACATTGACACACTTGGGTTTCCGGTGTAGTCTGCAAAAAAATAATCAAAATACCGTCAATAGACCATTTCAGTTTCGGTGACAAGAAGAAGAAAAGAATAACCAAAACTGGAAACAGTTGGGCGAGGGGCGAAGAGGGACGGAGGGTGGGGGATTAGGAGGCAGTGCTTTTCCGGTTTGTTATTCTTTTCTTTTTATTATTGCCTAACCGAAAATGGTCTATTTGACGCCAAATCGTCAAAATATCATCGATAAAACGCAAGAAAACGCAAGTCGTCGTAACCAGCAGTCTCCGCTCGCCTCCCACGCCTTGCCGAGACTTAAGTGCAAATGTTAAAATTCCCGTTGTGGACCGCTTTATAAGTTTCAGGTACGAAGAGCAGGAGCGAGCTCCCCGCCCCCCGCTTCCCCGCGCCCATCAGCTTCAGCGCGAAGCAACGCCGCACGGACTTCGCAGCGCCATCCGCCGTGGAGCCGTCGTTCTTGAGCAAATAACCAGTTGGGGTCGCTTCCCCAACACAGGGGCTGAGTGTGACGTCACGCACCTGACACCTGCACCGCCAACAATCATCACTGTACACTAGCATCCGCACATCCTTTCACCCATCACAGAAAACAAATAAAATGGAACCTCCATGTGTTGTTGTATTTTTAAAAATATTTACTCATTGACTTAATAAACACCACAACTCATTAACTGCAGCCGAAAGCCCACTGTGAAAAATAGTCGTAAGTTTACAGGAAAATTTTCCATGATGTGAGTTCGTAAAATTACAACGTGACATTGTAAAATTACAATTACCTCCTATCGACTTGGAATTGATCGAGGAGCAAAAATGGTGCGCCGTAAATTTACAACAATATTTTGTAATTCCAAATTACAAGAAATGTCGTAACTTTACGAGGAAATTTTTCACAGTGCCACAGCTAACGCCAACACCAAAACTATAATCCGACCTCGATATCATTATAACATCTGTAGTACGTGGTATCTTCAATCGCACACCGCACACCTGCAGTTAACTCCTGGCGGGTGATATGAACCGAAAATTGTTTTTTTTTTCGCGTACAATCATTGTCGGGGAGATATGGGATAGCAAACTTGCAATGAGAACGGTTCTTTTTTTTCTGAGGGTGAGGGATCATTCAGAATGTTTCTCAGACTCCTTCGATCATTCGGAAAGCTACAAGAGCAAAGCGCCTGCTAGACTCAAGGGTACGCCACCTCGCAGTACACGCAAGCACTACAGGCAAGATATCGCCTTCCTATAAGGCGCTACACTGTAAAATACTTGCAGACTATATTCTTTGCAACGTTGCAAACAATTTCCAAGCTTTGCATTGCAAATAATTAGTTCGTATTGCACAGAAATTCTCTGCAGCCAGTCAAAAGACTTGCAAAGTATGTGGTTGCATTGTAAAGATATAATAAATCGGTGTGTGAATGTCGCACACTTGTTGGTGTGTGAACGAGATTCGGACACATGGAGGCGCAAAAGTGTAAATTTCAGAGGAAAATTCACATCTTTACTCCCTTAAGTGCACGAATAGGCATTCACACACCTACACTGCAAACCCAACAGTGTTCTTAGTACACACAAGGTAGCGTCGACTTGCAAGCACACACCTACAAGTGTGTATTTGCTATAATACACACAAGGAGGAGTATGTACTATGGTAAGTACACACCTAAAAGTGTTACTTACCATAGTACATTTTTTCTTGCTACCCACTTTGTGTTCCACGTATCCCTCGTTCAAAGATTATTCTGACGTATAAGACTGTCGCTGTGCCGTTTTTCCTCTTTTCGCTTCTAGTGCCCGCTGCAACGGCCGCACAGGGGTCTGATAAGAGGGCAATTAAAGAGAGTGTTTAACGCCGTCGTCCCAGCTTTCAGTAAGCAGCACACATCCATCTTCTATATAAAAGGGAGCTTTGCGGGAGCTCGCCGTCTGTTGCCGCCATGGCGGGTCTGCAAGCTCAGGTCGTGGTCCTCGCCGTGGCGCTCGTTGCGACAATAAGGGGTACGGCATAACACACATCGTAATTTTCAGCTGTTTTTTTTTTTTTTTTTCTGTCACTCTCTTTGTGTCCCTTTTTAGGCGTGGCCTCAAAAGACTCGCTGCTGGGCATCAGGGATAGGAAAGTTTCTTTTAAAAATGCAACTAGTTACAGTTGCAGTTAGTTTTGCCAAAAATGTAACTAGTTTCAGTTACAGTTACTTTTTCTTAAAGATTGCCGTTACAGTTACAGTTACATTTTTTTCTCAAAAAATTGTAACTAGTTACAGTTACAGTTATCCCGGTAGTTCTTGAGTTAAATTGGTCGTTGTTTTCTATTAATTATTTTGTAATGGAAAAATTGTTTGCAAGGTAGGCGATTACGCATTATTTAAAGTCCGCAAAACTCTGCTTTCCTCGTCGTGTAGCGAGGGTCAGAAGGGGCTAGCGGTGGACGGGTGCGGGCGGGTAGGGGTAAGGGGAAGGATAGGGGGCATCCTTCTTTTTGTGCAGCAGGTACAGAGTGTTGCGACTATTGCCGGACAAGCGGGCGGCTAACCCAAGGTCGCCAAGGCCGGGCGAATGT